AAAAAAGAAAGAAAGAAAGAAAAGAAAATCTGAATTCTGAATCCGCTATGACCGGCGCATCACTAATTAAAATACTAAGTAAAAGGCCTCAAATTTGAAGCACAATCTGGGATATCTTTTTCTATCAATTCTTGAATAGGTAGATCTTGTCTTTCATAAAGGCCGAGGTCAGGGATCTTGGGCCTAAAAAGGTTGGTGACCACTGCCTTAAAGGGTGCATAGTATAAGAGTGCATATCGTGTGGAGATCACCATACAGTTTTTTCAGGATTCTTTGATGAACATTAAGTTCAAACGAACAACATTTATTTGAAATAGAAAACTTTTGTAACATTATAAAGGTCTTTTTCATCACTTTTGATCAATTTAACACATTCTTGCTGAATAAAAGAATCAATTTCTTAAAAAAAAAAAAAAAAATAGTTTGTAGTCTTTTTTGTCTCTTATATTTGTATGTCTTTATTGTGAAGTGGCCTTGTGATAGTAATAGACTTTTAAAAGTCCAAACTGTATGTATCAACATTTTTTAGTTGTGGTTATTCATGGCCTCTCATACCATATTGCACTGGGTCATGTGCTGCTGACTGCTTTCCTCAGTGCTGTGAGGCGCACCAGCTCATTGACTGTGGCTTGTGGGTTTATGATGCTTATTGATACTTACAGTCAGGATCCCCTACTAGGAAGATATAACAGGCTCTGAAAGCAACTTCCTAATGGCACAGTTTTGCACTCTGAAAATCCAGTGAGCTGTGCTGAAGCTGGTAGTAGATGAATACTGTATGATAAATCTATTTTGCAGCAGCCAAAACCCTAGACGCATGAATGAAAACATGAATCAGAGACTGGAGCTGCAAAAAGATTAATGCACGCACGACGAGTCAAAGCCTGAGATGTGCACCCAACAGGCTCTTAATGCAATTTTTTGATGTTTGCCCAGTAATGCCCAGTAGTTAGCAGATATGCTCAACACACTTTCTGTGATTTTGCTAAGTAGGACATGTTCCTGGATCAACAAATCGATGCAAATCGGAATGAACCTTCAGTTCAAAGCATGCATTTTATTTAGAGTCATTTTCAAGCTTGTGCTCCTTTTCCATCTTTAATGCAGCTTGCAGATCCTCTAGCGTTTAATGCCGGTTAGTTTAATAGTTTTTAGTGCGTTAGTGCCACAAAGTGCTCTATGTGTAGCTGTAGTGGCTGCAGATCTGTGACAAATCTCAAATCGTGTTGGCTGTCATGTTTAGTGTTTTTTGGTGTAGAGCTTTCTGGAAGTCAATTCATGGTAACACTTTAAAATAAGTTTTCAATAAACTAACAGTGACTGTAAAGAAAAGTGATTTTAAAAAGAAAAAAAATCTAGTATCTCTCTCTCTCTCTCTCTCTCTATCTATCGATTGATCAATCGATCATTCTATCGTTCTAGCATTCTGTCTGTCTAGTGTTCTGTCTAGCACTCAGTCTATCGTTCTATCGATTATTCTATTGTTCTATCTATTTATTGTTCTGTCTAACATTCTGCCTATCGTTTATCGATTATTCTTTCATCCCTCTCTCTCTGTATGGAGAAGCAATGATGAATTTTAAGATTTATCTTGAAAATATGTTATGTGAAGACTTTTTCAAACAAATAATAAAAAAATATAAGTAGGGGAAAAAACTAGCAATTAATGAATTATCTGAATTAACTAGATTTAAAAAGCTGTAAAAAATATGACACCTAATGAAATTAAAAATAAATAAATAATACAATTCTGTCATTTAAACTGATATTTTGAAGAATGTAATGGTTTAAACAACATTGGACCACACTGACTGTCATTGAATGGACAGGGGGGAAAAAACAGGCATAACATTTTTTATCCTTTTATAGTCCAAAGAAAAAAGTCATATGACATTGAACAGCTAACGCTTTTTACAAATTAAACCTTGTTGTAGAGTGATACTGAATCAAGTTTTCTTCAGTTTTAACAAACACACAGAATATATTCACATTTGTACTGTCTTAAGCCCCGTTCACACTGCCAGCGACAAAGCGACATGCTCTCATTCATTTTCAATGGAGAGCTGACGACTTCCGTGACACGAGCGACAGTGACCATTGGTGACAGAATGTGGGTGTGTCAAGCGATGCGAGTCAAGCAACAAAAGTTAAGAATTGTTTAACTTTATGCAAATGAACAGCGAATTTCGCGAGCGACAACCAATAGGAGTGAAGAATCTGTCAGTGGCGCTCACACGTCACCGTCTCGAGTGCAGGCAAGATTTCCTGAGCGATTTCACTGTTTTATATGAACCACATACATGGATATAAAAAAATGATGCGTAGAAACGGCAAATTTCAAATAAAAATCCCTTAATTCGCAAAAAAGTTTTTACGGTTTTTGACTTGTGCAAAAAGGGTTCGGCAAATCCGACCAATCTCGTTCCTCAGCATCTGAAATGTTATGGTCATTTTGAAATGTCCAAACAAAGCAAACAAAGT